AAAGAAAAGAAAGAAAAAGAAAAAAAAAAAAAAAAAGAAAGAAAAAGAAAAGAAGAGAAGAGAAAAGAAAAAAGAAAAGAAAAGAAAATTAAGGGGAAAATAGCAAATCTGACATCCATTTGTGGAAACGCCATGTCAAGGGCTTTCTGTTTTGAGCCCTGCAACAATCCTACTCAAAGCTATCAACATGTGAATTTGTCAACAGATGGGCCTGCCTTGTGAGACAGTTGGCCTTCAATGTTTTTCAGAACCAAGATGGAATATGATCTCAAAATTCTGCTTGCATTATGGATGGCTGAGATTTCTGTCGTGAGGGTGTGGATGTAGTATGCCTAACGGCAAGGATTTTTTGACTGAAGAAAAATGGCACTGTTGTATCTAGGTTTGAAAAGAATGCATGAGGTCCTAACTAATAAGGAAACAGAAAAATATGTTGCACTGCTTATCAAAGGAAACGACAGTTCTTTTTTAAACAAATGTGGAAAAATTATATAATTTATTACATATGTCCACCTTTTGTCCCCCACACACCTAGCTTTGGTCAAAGGTGACTGTATGTCACCCCTATCATAGACCTGAATACATGTTGTCCTGACACACCTGCTAAAGTCATCAGTTCATTTTTAAGCTTCAGTCAAGCCAGGAACCCCCACAAAACAGCAATTAGCAATTCTGTAGCCACCGTTACTGCTGCTGCTGCTGCTGCTGCCTGCCATAAGGCCTCTTCCCCCTCCCTCCCCAAAATGTAGCGCCTGCTTCTTCCCCTATAAATACACCATCAATAGACAGTTACTATGGCAACAGTGAGGAAGCAAGCATGAGGGCTCCACGACAGAGAATGATGCTGCAGCCACACATGTATATGTCCCTCCTGCCCCTGGTGGATACTGTAAAGCTGACTGTAGGCAGAAGGAATTTTTAACCCACTCCCCACAGGAACACAGCTGAATCCTGACAGCCTGGAAAGGAAGGAAGGCAGAGAACTGGTCACCACAAAGACCTTGCTTAACTCCACCCCAGGCTGAAGCTTCTGAATCTCAGCACTTTGGGACACAACTCCCAAAGTCCCTCACATGAAGCCTGGTGACCACCAGAGCACCTGGTGTCCCAAGACATGGCCTCCAAAGCACTTCTCCAAACCCTAGGCTTTATTTCCATCCCTCAGAACTGATCGCCAGGAAGAGTTCCGTGATCTCCAAATCGCATGACTCATCAACCCAACCAGTGACACGACAACTCCCAAATTATGCTCAAACTCAAACTCTGGGGGCCCCTTGTCCCCTTCCACTCAGGCCAGCCCTGAAAGTGCCTGTCCTCACTCACCTTTCGCTGGACACCAGCGCCCTGACCCAGCAACACTCTTCTCCCGAGGCTTCTCCCACCGCATCACCTTGGCCCGGCCGGGCCTCTAGATTTTCCCTCCCCAACAATGCCTCGCGCCCAGCTCGCTGGCCCTGGACACCGAACCGTGCTCTCGGGACTGGGACACCCAACCCAAATGGCCTCACCGTTCTCCGGGCCCAGGAGGCGGCCGCCCTGTTTGCGCACGCAGCCCGCCACCTCGCTGCTACGCCTCTTCCAGCAGGGCCCCTGTCCCCGCCCACCTGATCCCCATCGGCCAAGCCCCCCGGCCCAGCCCAGTTGTCTCCTCCCTCCCTCCCTCTCCTCCCCGCTGCCCTCCCACCGCCTCGGACACCCTCTCGCCCGCCCTGCCAGGGCCAAAGTGCTCCTGGAACCCCCGCCCCTTGCAACCGGGCGCCCAGGCCCTATCCATTACCTCGGCACCCCCCTGCCTGTCCCTGGTCTTCTCTAGGGGATCCGCAGCTGCCCGCCCCCCACACCCCGCCGCGCCAGGTCTGGCCTCGCGCCCCGCGTCTCGCGCGCCAAGACCGCAGTGCCCAGATCGCCAGGCCGCCTGGCCGAGGGGAGGAAGGAGGGGTGGGGGCGACAGAGTGGGCCGAGGGGGTTGGGAGGGCGGCCGGCTAAGCTGGGCCGGAGGGGCGGCGGCGCGCACTAAGCACTGCGCGCCAGCGCCCCACTCCGCCGGCGCCGCCCCTGCCGCCGCCCGTGCCGCCGGGGGGCGGGGCCTGACCGGCGGGCTCGGGGCACACAGAGTACCCTTGACCAAAGCCCTGGTCCAGTCATGACCCAAAGCGTGGGCCCTCGGAAGATAGGGCGCAGCAGCGAGCTCCGGCGGCCGCGCCCAAGGCCCGCGCGCCAGGCTTCCCTGAGCAGCCCAACCCCCGTCCTGTCCTCAACCCGGCTCACCTGCCATTCAGGCCCGCCCGGCTCTTGAGGCCGCCGAAAAGAGCGGGGCGCTAGCCTGCGGCCAAGGCCTGCCTTGCCAGGGTTCCACAGTGCCCGCACAAGAAGGGCCGGGTCGAGGCCGCGTTCTGCCAATGACTGGGTGACCTTGGCTTCCTCGCTTACCTACCCCCACCCTGACCCGGGAAGACAGGCTTCTCTTCTGCAAAGTCCGAGAAATGGGTAGAATTGTGCCTCCCTCGTGAGGCTGCAACGAATTGAAGGAGGAAATGGGTTTGGAAAAGGCTCAGTAAGGGCAGAGGAAGAAATCTTCCGGCATTCAAGGACCACTAGATGAGGGCTCCTTTGGAGGCCGCACTGTAAGAGGTTTAGCATGGCAGGACAAGACGCAGAGCAGAGATGAGACTAGGTGAGAGGAACCACATGACAAGTCGACTGCTAAGAGAGGGGCAAGAGGGATCAGAGGGGGCCAGATGCCCTGCTGGGTTTTCAGGGTTCCTTTTTGTTCTCTGCACCTCTAGAACATGGCTAGGCACTGGGGTTGGCATCTGAATCCTCCCTCCACCCCAAGTGATGCCTTTGATGGGAAGAGTCTCAGAAGGTGTTTCCAGAATCACTCGCACCCCTATCCCAGGCGGGTAATAGCAACCTGCCCTGCCAGGTGGCAAAAGAGGGGTGGGAGAATTCCTTCATAACCACAGGCCTCCCCTTTAATCCCCAGGGCCCAGCTCCCTAGCTCCCTGGATGCCCACCCCTATGCTTCTCTCCCAGCATGGTGCTTTTCCCTCCATTTCTTCCCCCCTGGCTTGTTTGCTATTCCATAGCTGCAGGAATCTTCCTTGTCCATGCAGATTTTCTATGGACCTCCCCCCAAGTCCCCGGAGCCTGTGGAGCAGAGTTCCGCAGGCTCTTCTGGAACTAATCTACTGAGTTTCTTAGCCCAACAGCATGTTCCTATCCTGATAGTAACACTGCATAGACCTTGTACACCCGACTGTTGAAAAGGGAGCTCTTCCAGTATGTGCACAAGGGTCTATGGCTTTGTCCCTCCTCTTGGCACTCCCGATTGAGCTTCTGGCTCCAGCAACAGGAGGCTACTTCTACTTCCCTCTGCCCTGAATGCCTTTCCTCCCACTGTGGACCTGGTGCACTTGCATTCATTCTTCCCACACAGCGAGCATGACTGCTCTACTGTGAGGTCTTGCAGGATCCTCCTCCCACCCCAGTTGACCATTCCACTCTCAGCCCTATTTGCAGGCTATGAGCATGGGGCCTCTGTGGATCACAAGTGTGGGGAGGAGGAAGAGCAGTGCCTCCTACTGCCTGCTGCAACTCTTGGCGGTACTACACGATAGGCTCTATTTAATCTCCAGCAAGTGATTTGACCTCTCTGCATCTCAGTTTCCTTACCTTTCAGATGGGAATGATGCTAACAGTGCCTGCCTCAAAGCGTTGCTAAGCAGGCAATGGAGCTAATCACATAGAGTGTGCCTCGCATTTCAGTGTGAGCTTAATGCACATCAGCTGTGGCTTGCATCCATCTACATTTTGTTCATTTGATAGCTCACTTATGTGCACACTTGCCTCCTCTCTCTTGGGGCCAGGGATCTTGTCTCTTCCTGTGTCCCTAGCATCTTGCACAGAGCCTCATCCACAGCTTATGCTCTCTAGAGCCTTGTAAAGCTGAGGCTGGAGGGGCTGGAGCTGAGATGAGGAGTTGGCGTGAGAGTCCGCCTTCAACTTAGCACCATGATGGCTTCTATTTTCCCAGTTGACACTAAAGGCAGCTCTGACTGCTGCTTCCTACCTGTGGGAAGCCTGGGTCATGGGGTACCAGCTTTGTCCATACTCTTCGGTTTCCTCAGTGAGAAGGCTTTCTAACTATCCTCAGGATGGCTCCACATACTGCTGAGAACTGATGATTTTAGATTGCGATGATTTCAGATGATTTTAGATTGTGGTCTCAATGGTGCCCCCTGCACCAGTATGTTGAAGGTTTGTCCACTGGCTGCACCACCTGGCCAGGCACCAGACACTTGGATGCCCTCAAGTGGCTTTCCTTTTCCACTCAAATTGCAATGATGTTAGCCTCCCCTAGGCTACTGGCATAGGTCTCACCCTCACTAACTAAATGAACCTTCACTTCACTCTCCCAGCCTCCATCGCATTCAACATTCACCCCCCACTTCCCTCTGCATTGCTGAGCAGTTTTCCGAATGCCTATCATGTGTAAGGCACTGCATTAAGGATTGTGGAGGGCACAGCTCCAAGAAGTGGGAAAAGACAGATCATAATTCAGTAAAAATTCCCCACACAATGTGAGAGGACAGTTCCTCCATCCCAGACTTGACCCACCTTCTTACCTGTTCCCATTTCTGTTCCAAATCCCATTTGGCAGAGCCGGAGTTGTGGATGTGTGACCCATGGAATCAGACAGGGCCCTGTGCTTAAGAGGGCTCTGAACACTTGGCTCAAGGCTGTCCTATTACTATCTTGAAATCCTAATGCTTTCTGATCAAGAGGCCTTCATTTTTACTTTCACTGATTCCCACAAAGTATGTAAGCTATCGTGCCTATGGGTGGCATTTCCAATGTCCCCATTCCTATCCCAGGGAACAGAATTCTCAATAACCCCCCACTTGTCTGACTCCTCACCTTCTCCCCTCTGCAAGCCTTGGCCAGTTGCCTCTTTCATCATGTCTCAATACCACCAATTCCATTACCTTCCTCCATGTTGTCCCTCCCCAGCCCCAACCGTATGCCTTACCCTTTGTCTAAGAGGAGCGCTCTCTACCAACCTCATCTACTCCCAGAGCTTCACTCTTTCTGTACCACTCATTCATTCCAGAATTCTTGTTTTTTATTGTACTTTAAGTTCTGGGGTACATGTGCAGATCTTGCAGGATTGTTGCATAGGTACACACATGCCATGGTGGTTTGCTGTCTCCATCCCCCATCACCTACATCAGGCATTTCTCCTAGTGTTATCCCTCCCAAACCTACCCATCCCCTGCTGTCCCTCCCCTAGACCCCCACCCCCCAACAGACCCCAGTGTGTAGTATTCCCCTCCCTGTGTCCATGTGTTCTCATTGTTCAACACCCGCCTATGAGTGAGAACATGCGGTGTTTGATCTTCTGCTCTTGTGTCAGTTTGCTGAGAATGATGGTTTCCAGATTCATCCATGTCCCTACAAAGGACATGAACTCGTCCTTTTTATGGCTGCATAGTACTCCATGGTGTATATGTGCCACATTTTCTTTATCCAGTCTATCATCAATGGGCATTTGGGTTGCTTCCAGGTCTTTGCTCTTGTAAACAGTGCCACAATGAACATATGTGTGCATGTGTCTTTATAATAGAACGATTTATAATCCTTTGGGTATATACCCAGCAATGGGATTGCTGGATCAAACGGAATTTCTATTTCTAGATCCTTGAGGAATTGACATACTGTCTTCCAAATGGTTGAACTAATTTACGCTCCCACCAACAGTACAAAAGTGTTCCTATTTCTCCACATCCATTCCAGAATTCTTTATCTGAGCCCTGCTGCCCCCATCCTTTTATGTCCTGACTGAGCCTAAATATTGATCCTTATCCTGTAAGAGATTCATTCCATCTCTGCAACCCAACCAAGAAGTTAATCAGGTGTTACGGATTGAATAGTGTCCCTTTCCAAATTCACATTGAAATCCTAATCTCCAGTACTCCATAATGTGATCATACTTGGAAACAGGGCCTTTAAAGAGGTTATTAAAGTAAAATAGGGTCATTAGGCTGAGCCTTAATCCAGGGTGACTAGAGTCCTTATAAGAAGAGGAAATTGGAACAGAGGCATGTACACAGGGATGACTATGTGGACACACAGGGAGAGTGTGCTGTGGCCATCCACAAGCTACCAAGAGAGGTTTAGGAGAAACCGACCCTACCCACACTTTGATCCCAGACTTCCAGCCTCCAGAACTGGAAGACAATACATTTCTGTCCTTCAAGCCACCCAGTCCACAGTACTTACTTTGTTAAGACAGACTGACCCAACTCCTACATGAAGTACTTATCTAGTGATATTAGGCGCTATGCACTGTTCTAGCACCTAGGATTACAGAAGCCAACAAAGTAAATAAAAACTCCTATCTTCATGGATATTAGACAAAAAAGTCAAAGATACAGGATGCAGGATGGTGATTGGTGCCATGGAGAAAAGTGAAGCAGCAATTTCGAATAAAGTAGTCAGGAAATGCCCCACTGAGAAGATGGCATTTGAATCAAGATTTGAAAGAGGCAAGGGGCCATCTTATTCCAGGTCAGGAAATTCACAAGTGCAAGAGCCCTGGGAGCAGAGACTTAGCATGTTCTAAGAGGCTGATGTGCTGAAGTGAAGCAAGTCAGAGAAGAGGGTGGTAGGCAATTAGGTCAACATAAGATGGGGATAGTGAGAGATCATGAGGGGCACTGTAGACCACTGTCAGGACTTTGGCTACTAGTCAGAATCATGTGGAGAGACAGTGAGGATTCTGAGTGAAGGGTAACCACGATCTGATTTCTATTTTACATCAGGCAATGCAACGGAAGTCATAAGAAGCAGGCATATTCTAGATAGATTTTTATGGAAGACTCATTAAGGTTTGATGCCAGTTTGGAGTTGGGCTAGGACAGAGACGGAAATCAATTATGGCAGTAAGGTTCTCAGTCTGGGGAACAGGAAGGATGGAAGCGCTTTAACTGAGATAAGAAAAACAGTCGTGGAATAGGTTATATAGACGAGTCTGAAGTTCAGGGGCAATATCAAGGCTGGAGATATAATGAGAGAGTAAGTAAAATTTCATTCGTGTTGGAAGTCATGAGGCTGGATCGGATCCACAAGATAGTGATTGTAGAGAAAGCAAAGCAGCCCCAGAATGAAGCCCCATGCAGTCCTACATTTAGATGAGGAAAAGCCAGCAAGTGAGCCAGAAAGGACTGATGGGTGAGGCAGGAGGGGCGCAGCAAGACACGTAGGCAACGGCAGAAACTGCATCGGGAAGGAGGCAGTGAGCGGCTATTCCAATTCTATGGACTGGACAAGTAAGAAGACGACAAAGAACTGAGTGTCATGTCTGTCAGTGTGGAGGTCATGAATGTCTTTACAGGGGCATTTCCAGGAAAATGTGGAGGGATAAGGGTAGAAAAGGACTGAAAACTGTGAGTACCCAATGATCGACAAATCTTGTAAGGAGTTTTGCTGTAAAGGAGAACAGAGAAACTGGGGTCGGGGGTGGTAGGGATATAAGGGGACAAGATAAAAGTATTTTAAAAATACGAAATAAATTCCAGTGCAGTAACATGTTTGTATG